GTTCTAATGATTGGATGTAACTGTGTTACATTATCTGTCTGTGTAATGTGTTCCCTGAAAGAGTCGTGTTTGTGTTTCGGAAATACAAGTCGTATACAATATTTTCAAGGGTGGAACGTTTGTACAGCATACATCTTTATTGACTTTGAATATATTCCATCCACTTTGTGCAATGTACCAGTACCACTGGCAGCGGAGTCATGCTGTACCACAGGATGATGCTATCACCATGCTTGACTTTGAGTAGAGCATTTGAAAGACTGACCTTTGCTCCCATAACCATACATTTTGTTATTGTGGCAGAAAAGCTCTCTGTCTTTGTCTTGACTGACCATAAAACTTCCAGAAGGAAAAATTTAGTTTGTACATTTGGGCAGCTGCAAATTACAGTTGAGCTTGATGGTGTTGATTTTGGAGCAGGGCCTTCTTCTTTGGTTGGTTACCACTCAGTCCATGGCGAGGTAAAACTGGCTTCCTGTAGACAGTCACGCTGGGGTTTCAGCAGTTTCCGGTTCATGACAGATTTGATCCTTTGTGGTTTCTGAATTGTTCTAGGCCATTGTGAACAATTTCCTCTCATCTGAGGGTGACAGTTTGGGTGTTCTTTCAGACCTTGGCAAAGTGGTGTCACACCTGATTAACTGTTAGCTCTAAGAGATCTTCCCAGCTTGTGTAAATCTAGCTTTCTTTCTTAGATCTTCACTGAGCTCCTTGGACTTTTCCATTGTTCTGAGTATTGTCAGTCCAATGAGTGCTGTCAAATAAATCCTTTTCATGTTGGCAAAGACAATCTGCATACAGATGAGGACAGAATTATTCGCCACACAGTACAGAAAAAGTCTGGCAGAAGTAGGAACCAAACAATTTCAAAGACTCTGGAAAGAAAACTAACAAAGATGTACCTAAAAACCCAGAACAACTGCCAAGACTCTAGTGAATGACTTAGCCAAACCAGCAATTGTACTCTGAAAGAGGGCAATCACTAGAAGCCTGCACGGGAATGGACTGCAACGTTATGGACCAAGAAAAACTCCACATATAGTGTCAAAGTTCGAGATTCGAGACACCATCAAAGCTGGTTGAGAACAACAGGGCTAAAGTCCTGTGGGACCAGCAGCTGCTGGTCAACCAACCAGACACAGTGGTAGTTAATAAAAAGCAGAAGACTGCAGTTGTGATAGATGTTGCAATCCCAGCAGACAAAAACATCAGGAAGAAGCAGCATGAGGGAGCAACAGGAGCAGAATTGGAAGGTAAGTTCTAAAATGGTCCAAAATGTTCCTGGTAACAGGAGCATTGGGAGCTGTAACAACAATACTAAAAGAGTGACTTCAACAGATTTCACGCACAACAACAGAGGTCTCTCTCAGTAGGGAACTTATTATAAGCAATTCAAATTCAATTTCTTCTTCTTTATTCTTGGACACTAATAAAGTTGCTTAGCATGATTCACAGTTCAAAATAATCCTTATTTATCATATACCGTGTCTTGGTTCAGCCTCATATGTCCCTTTAAGGTCCCTGAAAAGCTGCAGCTTGGTATTGTAATTCTGCAAAGGCTCTTGGCCACCGCTGAAACAGACCATCAGGCAACACCACAAAACCTCAAACCCAAAAATCTCAGCTCCAGTTCATCTGCTGTCCGTGGTGATGCATGCACATTATGATCTCATTAAAATGTTTCCTTTTAGCAACACTAACAATAAAAAGATCACCTCGATAGCATGATGCTTCATTTCAAGCATCCATTTGAAATCCCACTGTGGTGAAAGTACCGATCTTAATGATAATAATAACAAACACACCTAATAAGAGCACATTTTTAGTAGGAAATCACTCTAGTTTGATCTGAATCACTGTGAACAATATAAAGTAGATGTAAAAAAATAAATAAATACGAGTATAGAGTATAAATAGAAGTGTCAAAAACTTTGTCCCAAAGTATAAAAATGTTAAAGATGGATTGTTATGGCGCTGTTTTATTGCTCCCAGTAGATGGTCAGCAGGTTTAAGTCATAAATCCATTCTTTAGAGCTGCTGTCTTTCTTTGCAGCCAGCAGCATTACCATCTGCCTTTATTTGATTTGATTTTTTTAACACCATACAGTAAAAAAATAAAATTAAATCAACTCAAACATATGGAAATGTTCAGCAGCAACTCTTCTGTTATTCACATCCCTCCAGCACAGTAAAACCCATCTTTTACCGTCCTTCTCTCTCTCACTCTCCCTGCTCATTGTAGGTGTGGGTCTCTTGGCACTGTTTGTGCTGAATCATGAGGACATCAAACAATGACTGGCTGGACAAAACTGACTACTAATGAAATAACTTTGTGGGAGTGTGACACTCCGGGGTGGGGTGGGGTTGGGTGGGGGTGCACAGTGACCCCTGATTTCATTCTGCTGGGCCTATGGCAGGCCGATCTGCCGGCCAGCTTGGACACTCTCGGTGCTGTTGGCAAAGTTTCCACCCCTGGGCGTCCCGTATATATTGAGCTCATTGTGCCATCACAAACACACTGGCACAGACAGGTACTGGTAAGGGGATCATGTCCGTCACGCTGTATTTTATAATTTTTTTTTAAATATATATATTTATCAGTATTTGTCTTCTTTTTGCCACTGTAATTTAGGTTAAATCTTAGAAACTTAGAACAATAACAGCAAACAGAATCAATCAACAGCTTCTCAGATTTTAGAAAAAGCTGCCAAGAAAAAATATTACAGAAATACCTCAAAATTATTCAGAATTATACTTTTACCTGTTTCTTTTCAGCATCATCCTTATCCATTCAATATGGCCACAGACCACCAGAGTCCTGCATCCAAGCAGCAGCAGCCAGGCACCAGTGCGTTTAAGGTGAGGGAGGACAGGCGCACACTGGCAGCAAGACCAGTTCACATAAGTTCACATGAAATCTGTGCACTCCGTATTTGCAATTGTTTATCTTCCAAAAAAACACAACTCCTTTCATCAGCTAAAAAAGAAGAAGAAATTTTTCCTCTTTTCCAGCTGGTTATCTATGAGCAGGAAAACTTCCAGGGACGCTGCCATGAGCTGACTGGTCCCTGTAACAACCTTCAGGAAGCAGGCGTGGAGAAAGTGGGCTCCATACTGGTGCTGTGTGGACCGTGAGTGTGGGTCAGAGACAGACAGAGAAAACTAGCAAATGACCAAAAAAAGAGGGAATGGCATAGAGAAAAGCAATCACATTTAATGTGTGATAAGCAGACAACCAACCATCTTTCCAGCTGAGCCCCTGCATCAATCACAGCCCCATTTGTTGTTGTTGTTGTTGTTGTTTTCTGTCTTCTCAGATGGGTGGGATATGAGCAGGCCAACTGTAAGGGGGAGCAGTATGTGTTTGAGAAGGGCGAGTATCCTCGCTGGGATTCCTGGACCAACAGCAGGCGTAGTGACACCATTGTTGCATTCCGCCCCATTAAAGTGGTAAGAGAGATTTACAAATTTATACCTCCATCCCATAATCAGCTGCTTCACATCTCACCCTTGGCTTGATTTGTTTTTCTTCTGATTTATCAGGACAGCCAGGAGCACAAGATTGTCCTTTATGAAAACCCCAGCTTTGCAGGGAAGAAGATAGAAATCATAGATGATGATGTCCCCAGCTTTCACGCACACGGCTACCAGGAGAAGGTCTCTTCTGTTCGGGTCCAGAGTGGCACGTGAGTCCATCCTCTCAGCAGGTGCTGTATATCATAGAAATAGCTGCCACATGCCCTTTGACCTCTAATTGGCTAACATTTGTTTCCCCTCTCTTTGCTTGTGGTGCACCAGCTGGGTGGGCTACCAGTATCCAGGCTACAGAGGCTATCAGTACCTGTTTGAGAAGGGGGAGTACAAGGACACCACTGATTTCGGAGCCCAGATTCCTCAGATCCAATCAGTCCGGCGCATCAGAGACATGCAGTGGCATCAGAGGGGTGCCTTTCATCCCGTCAACTAAGCTTGTGACTCTCTCCTGTCAGGAATCCTGACCTCAGCATCCTCTGCTCCCTTTCTGGCAACAAACCCTTTGACCTTCATTTACCACCACCATGCAGCATTTTGATATCAGCTGAGGCAGTAGTAACAATCTTTGAAGCAAACTAATAAATCCTCATTGCTTACATTTGACTCAATCATGGGATTGTCTTCTGTTTTTCCCCTCCACACAAGTCCTTCAGACTGCAACACCTGAAAAACAGACACCACCAATGCATCTAAACTGTGCTTA